TTAAGGAGTAACAAAAATTAGGCATACCGGGATTCTAGGCCAGCTGCTCAATATATATATATATATATATATACATATATTTGTGCTCTGTGTGTGTGTATATATATATATATATATGTATACAAGCGGTGTGGTGAAATGTATGGGCATTTTCATGAATTTAATGGGTTTGTTTGGTAATCACTCGAATAATTACATGACAACAAAACATTTTTCGTGTGAATTTGGACCAAAAGAAAAACACCTGATGAAGAAATTTGTTCGTATAAAATCTCTTTCACAATCCAAGAAAATTTTAGTCTAACCGATTGTTGATGGTAGAATATATATATATATATATATATATATATATGAGGAATCATGTTTCTTTTTTTCTTTTTGTTTTTTGTTTTCAGGCTTTTCTTCTTTTCGTGTTCCTTTTTTTTACAATTTAGGGAATTTTCTTTTCCTTTATCACTTTTATTTATAATATATATATATATATATATGTGTGTGTGTGTGTATATATATATAAAGTTGTACCAAAGGGTCTTATTATATTATTTCATGACCTTTCATTGTAGATTCGTCCTTATGTATTTGGTAGTGGAAATGTTAAATAGTTGAATACTGTTGTTAGTCACCAAGTGAAAGGAGAGAGAGCCTCCATTTTTTTTTCAACAAAAACATTGAGTGTATTTTAGTTGATTTTTTATTTATTTTTACTTTTAAATAAAAAAATACGAACGAAAAAATATACTTACAATGTTGAATAAGACGATACTATATTATATCAACAATCAAATTTATTATTTTAAAAAATTAACTTCGTTTATAAATAAGTTCACGAAACAAATATAAATTCATTACTAAAAATGAGTACTACGTAAATTATATCATTTATCATCATACTAAATAGAATTAGAGTACATCAAATAGATATAGTTAATTAATTATGTCACTATGATTATATGTTTGTATAAAAAATACTTAATACTTATTTAATATATTGTAATAACATTTGAGATCAATTTTTTTAATGCAAATTTTAATAACTACATAAATTTTTTATGATAAATTTCCATAAAATAAGGTTAAATTCTTTACATAATCATAAAAAAAAAAAATTATTTTATTATCTTATTACTTTATGCTATTATTTTATGAATCTAATGTTGAAAATTTTGATAATTTACAACTATTTAATAATTATCTAACATAAGAAACAATATAACAGTCGTAAATATATATAATTATGAAATTATCAAAATCATAAAAGCTAGTTAATACATTTATAACTGAAAAATAAATTATAATGAAATAAATAAGAAAACATAAGGTCATTATTTTCGTAAATTTTTTTTTACTGCATTAGTAAATTTCGGAGGTAAAAATAAAAGGTAAAAAAAATTGACTCCGGCTAAACTCAGTTTGGGAATCCAAATCACACCTCACTGTATCCCGCGACTTCAGGAGTCAGACAACTCAAAGTGACAAACGCTGTATTTAACTACCATAACGTCATCCATCTTATCTCAAAAAAGCCCATCTATTTCCTCATATTTACAATTCCACCCCTGTTAATTACATTATTTATTCAATTTCACTTTTTTTTTTTTAATAAAAAAAAAAGTATTTTTATTTTTTTGTGGGTTAAATTAAAAAGGGTGGTTCCTTTTCTTTTCTTTTTTTTTTTTTAAAATAAATTTATTTAATTTTTATGGATAATGTAAGATGCATTAATTAAAAGTTTTGTATACTATGTATCTTTTTTGTAGTTGGAATTTATACCATGTATCTTGGTATCACATGTTATAATAAAACTTTTGCTGTAAAGACCAAAACGGTCACGTTTTCCTCCTACTTTTCTGTACCGGTTAATCCAACATTATCCAAAAACCGATAAGGGCAAAAAAAAAAAATTAATTAAAAAATTCAAATTAAGCAAGAAAATTATGATCTACTCAGCATGAGTAATATCCTACGTGTAATTTCACTTTTCCCCGTCTGTTATCTTCCACAGCAATTTTCGTTGTAATATATTATTAATAATTAATAATTATTTCCATTTATTCCTGATTTTCTGATTTTCCTTCGACTGTTTTGGGAAATGAAAAAAAACGAAAATAAGGAAAAGAAAAATTAACTGCTATTTTAAATTTCCATTGAGTTCCGCTCCTCCTTAATTTTTTTTGGGGGGGGGTACCCGGTGTCCCCTACCGGGCTGGAGGGGAAATATGGAATTTCCCGGGGGATAA